GCAAGGTCACTTCTGTTTCTTCTCCATCTTCCCGGCTGCCTGGGCACTCCTGGGGGCGGGGGTGGGGGGCAGCTGCAGGCCTCAGCTGCTCCTGTTTCTCCCCTTCAGGGCTCCTCTGTGTCACAGCCTAAACCACGCGGTGCACCCGCCTGACCTGAGTCCCCTCTCTCCACATCACCCACTCGAGACCGCCCACATCCTGCTTCCTGTCCAGGGTCTCAGTGCAACCCTGGAGGGCTGGGAAGACCAAAGCAGAAGTTCCCCTCATACAATCCCAGCGACCCGGACGTGCGGCTGCTCCCACAGCGTGCAGGGGCTTGCTCGCCGCCACATCAGTGGGCTGCTCGCTCACGGCTGACAAAGGTCCACGCTGGCGCCTTCACGCTCCCGACCGCGACAGTCGTGTGCGTCACTCTTCCCTCCACGGCTGACTGCTCTTCTCCTCATGACCCTGAACCTCTCCCGGGAGCCCAGCCCCATGCGGCCGACCACCCCTGAACCTCTCACAGGAGCCCAGCCCCACGCGGCCGACCATCCCGGAACTCACGGGAGCCCAGCCCCACGCGGCCGACCACCCCTGAACATCTCATGGGAGCCCAGCCCCACGCGGCCGACCCCGGAACCTCTCACGGGAGCCCAGCCCCACGCGGCCAACCACCCCTGAACTCACGGGAACCCAGCCCCACGCGGCCGACCACCCCTGAACCTCTCACAGGAGCCCAGCCCCACACAGCCGACCTCCCCAGAACCTCTCATGGGAGCCCAGCCCCACGCGGCCGACCTCCCCTGAACATCTCATGGGAGCCCAGCCCCACGCAGCCGACCACCCCTGAACCTCTCATGGGAGCCCAGCCCCACGCGGCCGACCTCCCCTGAACTCACAGGATCCCAGCCCCACACGGCCAACCACCCCTGAACTCACGGGAGCCCAGCCCCACGCGGCCGACCTTTCCACACAGCGTGGTTCGTTCCTGAGGCAGTCAGCGCCCTGGGCTCCCATGTGCGTGCAGGCGGGGCCCAGGCACTTGTACCATCCTCTGCCACTTTCGCAGGCCACTAGCAGGGAGCTGGATAGGAAGTGGAGCACTGGGTCGTTAACCAGTGACACAGGCGGTGGCTGCGCCGGCTGCCCCAGACACACAGTGGTCCAGGTAAGAGAGGACACTGGTCCACGAGGCCTCCGCTGGAGAGGCCAGGCCGTCTCCCATCAACGTCCTTAGCAGCTCACGTGGGTGTCCCAACTGCATCCAGGTGCCAGACTGCCACTGCCTGAGGAAAACCCCAGACGGGGAGAAGTCTCCCCAGCAGCCTTGGCTTGGCACCCCGAGCTCGCTGGCAGGCACCGGGACCCCGCGGCGAGGACCCTGGGGCTGGAGCCAAGGCAGGGGTGAGGCGAGCTCACAGGCCCCAGCGGCAGAGGCAGAGGGATGAGCGGGCTGGGCGAGGGGACTCGCCTGAGGCCGCAGACTGAAGAACCCAAGGCTGGAAGACGGAGACGCAGACCCCTGCAGTCTGCAGAAGGCATCGGCCCACCAGCCCAAGGCTAGCCATGGATTCCCAGACCTCTGACCTGCAGAACCGTGGGACAGCAAGGTGTCCCCACGTGCAGTGACCGTCACAGCCCCACCAGAAAACAGACGCCTCTCCCGAAAGCATGCATGCGAGAGACGCCATGGGGAGACTTCATGGCGAGACCTACTCCGTGACTGCAAGAACATGGACATGAGCACCAGTGGCGCCACAGGGCCGCGTGGAGCACAAAGCCTGGGGCCTGGGGGACCGCGGCCCTCTTTCGAACGCATCACGACAGTGAGCTCTGCCGGGGCCGTCCAGGGTTCACAACACAGCCTAGACTCACCGATCCATCTACCCACAGGTTCCTCCGCTCCAGTTCCAGACGCAGCTTTTCAATCAACACTGAAATGCATTCCTTCTCGGTGCCAACGTGTGGCAGCCGTGCCAGGGGCGGCAGGTGGCCGGGCCTGCGCTGTGGGACCACAGGGAAAACACCTGCAGCATCCGGGCCTGTGTTCTCATCAGTACGTGGCCCCCCAGCACGTGTGACGGAGGCTGCCCCAAGGGTGAGATGACAGAGCACAGCGCCTCACGCAGCTCCCAGTCCAGTCCAGGCTTCCCACGGTCCACCGGCTCGCCAAGCAACCTCATAAGATGCACGTCTCCAAGGCCAGGGATGTTATCAATGAACAAGAACAGTGAGAGTCACGGTGGAGGCCGTGCTGCCTCGCGCCCCTCGCTGTGAACCCCCACACGTGGTCTGCACGTGCAGCAAAGCTGTCGAGGCCGTCTGGCTGAGTACAGACCACGTGGTCCCAGAGCACTCTGCATGGAGGGCCAATGGTGCATTTCCTCAAGTCCTTTCTCCACCAGGGACAAAAGGCACACGAGTGGTCCCCAGAGCACTGGCCATTCCCCAACCTGCCTGCCCCTGTTGCAGGCTGTTGGCCAGAGATGCCTGCTGTATGGTTTACCAACGAGGTGCTTACACCGTAGACAGGGGTCTGATGGTCTGACTGGAGAGGGCAAGGGGAGCCTTTATAAAAGTCTATCAAAGCCAGAAAACATCCCATTTCAAAGTAACGTAATTCTGGAGGCAGAATACCATATTTTGGGGGCTGCGCTGTGGCCTAACAAGTAAGGCTGCCACCTTATGCCTCCTGTGGTGCTGGCATCCCATATGGGCACCGGTTCAAGTCCCAGCTGCTCCACTTCCGATCCAGCTCTCTGCTACGGCCTGGGAAAGTGGTGGTAAATGGCCCAAGACCTTGGGCCCCGGGCTCCTGCACCCGCATGGGAGACCTGGAAGAAGCTCCTAGCTCCTGGCTTTGGATTGACCAGCTCCGGCCAAAATGGATATTTGGGGAGTGGACCAGCGGATGGAAGACTTCCCTCTCTCTACTCTTTCTCTCTGTCTCTGCCTCTCTGTAATTCTTCCTTTCAAGTAAATAAATAAATCTTTAAAAAATATATCCTATTTTTAAATCAAATATATATAGAGAGAACCAAGAAGGCCCAGCCTCACTTTTTTCACATTAACTATTTACAGTCCAGCCACTACTCATCAGAATCACATTAATGGCAACACAGATGCCATATGTGGTTTTCAATGGAAAATTTTCAAATGTTGAAAAAAATTCCTGAGTTCAGTCATGCCAAAAGACATTCTGATAGTAAATGTTGAATTTTCAAAACAGCTAACATCTATGAGGGCGAGGCAGGAGGTAGCTAGGGTCCGGGGAGAACAGAAAGAAAGAAAGAGGAAAATGCAGAAAAATTCAGGAAAAGCTAAAACTGGTTTTTACTTCCTTAGAATGCCAGTTTAAAAAGCAGCTGGCTCAAAGACAGCCTACCCACACACAGGACATAAAGACCAACCCAGGCCCAACCCAGGGAGGGAGCAGCGGCTGCCGGTCCTGAACACACGAGGCACTGTGTCAGATGACCAGCGATATCCCACGGCCCAAGAGGGCAGCATCCCTCCAGCCAGAACCTCTGGTCTGAGGCATCCGGTCTCCCTGGCCATGACCCCTCGCTCTCTCTGAAAGTGTGGCTGTAAATTCACAGCGTAGTTTTACTCGGAGCCCTGACCTCTGTCCCGGGATGCACTTTTGCTCTGTGGCCCCCGGGGAGCGGCTCTGTGCCGAGGCCTGCTTCGACTTTCCGCGGGAAGTGCACTTTGCTTGCTGTAATAACTCTTGCTGTCTGTGAGCTGTGTTCAATCCACCGAGGCTCAAAGAACCTCCCCTCCACTCCTACAAGTGAACTGCGATTCACTGTGCACAGCAGAACTAAAACGACGTTTTGTTGCAAAACTGTGGTGAAATCAGTGCACTCGGTACATCCCACCCGGGTCAGCACAGCCAGGCCCCGCCGCATGCCTGCTGGCGTTCACTCTCCACCACCCCCTACCTTACGGCTAAGTGTCTAAAAACGGATCCAACAACTTTAACAGAATTTAAGAAGAGGTGACGGCAAAAAGCTCGTGGACATGGAATGAAAGGTCAGTTTATTCTGATGTAAAAGAATCTGAAATCCACCTCAGCCTTCCCAGTCGGCACCTTCCACGCACTGTGGTCTCAGGCAGGGAAGCGGTGCACCACGGCGCACGGGGAGCCTGGCACCCACCCCCCCACCCCGGCACCGGTGAGGCCCAGGCAGCCTGCACCTCCCGTGTCCGACACCCGAGTACTCCGAGGGCACACGCTGGGGTACCTGCGCCGTCCGACACCCGAGTACTCCGAGGACACACGCTGGGGTACCTGCGCCGGGGCAGCCCCTCATTGATGTGCAAGGCTCACCTGCTCACGTGTTCAGTTTCCAATATTCGCCAAAAGCACACAGTGCCAAGCACCGGGGCACAGGCCTGTCTGTGGGGCACAAGGCCTAGTGCACAGGCCCCAGCCTGATCTTGGACAGGAAATCCACCCCAGGCGCTCAGGTTTACCAAGACCCATGCTCCCATCTGTTACCAAAATCTCCCTCCCTCTGATGCAGGATCGGCCACCTCTGCCAGGGCTGATTCGCAGCTGTTCCCTTCTCAGCTTTTCCCTGTTCGTGACATTCTTCAACCTCTCGTCTCTGCCGTATCCAAGTCCTCTCTGTCCTGTCCTGACTGGCCTTGTGATCTGCCGTCCTCTGCCGTATCCAAGTCCCCTCTGTCCTGTCCTGACTGGCCTTGTGATCTGCCTTCGTGCTTTCTGTCTCCACCTTTAACTGCAGTGTTCCACACATGTGTCCACGATATTCCTCTCAGGTCAAACATGCAGTCATCAAACTACACATCACTTCAACCACAAATGGGAATTTTCTAGATTTTTCTCCCCAGGAAAGACTTGCTTCCTAAGACTCTCTCCCTGCACTCCATGAAAGCTGGCATGGAAGCTTAAATGTCGTGAAATTTCACCAAAACGAGGCCTGACAGACAGAAAGCTGTTGCAAATCTGTGTGCTGTGGCAACACCCCTCCCACCGGTGGGACAGTACCTGGGCAGCTGACGGGCTGAAGGCCACTCTGGTGACTGTGTCCGTGTGCCCCGGGAGGCGGTGAGAAAAGGTGCTGGATCCCATCTCATACACGTAGGCCTAGGGGACAAGACACCAAGCAGAGTCGGTGACCGCGATCGGGCACGGAAGGTAGCAACCGCCCGGCAAGGCCGGCAACACCACACGCACCCGCAGAGCTGCTGCTCCTCACTCCTTCAGATTTCTGATTTCTTAATGAGCTTGGATCACGCTTCCTGTTCCCTGCCGTGAGCCTCCGTCAGACCCCGCCAACAGTTTACATCCTATACATTTTATAAAGATCTCTCTCTCTCTCTCTCTCTCTCTCTCTCTCTCTCTCTCTCTCCATGTAGTCATTTTGGTGCCGATTTAAGGAAGGAGCACAGATATTGTATTCCAACTTTACATTAAACTCCCGAGCAGAGTGAAATACACTGTAATTATATTATTAATGCCCATCACCGTGAGAGAACTGTATCTACCATACTTGGCTTCCCAGCTCAGAACCTGAGTGATCCCACTACTCAGGCTTTTCCTTAAGTACTGATGAAACAACACCTCTCTGACAGACAGTACCACTGCCGAACTGTGTGTGTTTCGGGACAGAATCCGACGTCGGTCCACCTCCCGATGGGGCCCGAGCTCCTCATTCAGCAACAGGGCAAAGGGCAAAGGGCGTCCACCGCCCCAAAGGCCACGGCAGCCGGAAGGGCCCTGAGGTGGCTCCTTTTCCCTCAGAGAAGCGATCCTGACCAAGAACAAGTCCTTCGAGGGAGGCTTCGCCGGTGCTGTAGCACCCGTCAGCAGTCCCGCGCGAGATCCTCTGCAGGAAGTGGAGAAGTGAGCCGGCTCTTTATCACGTCCACACGGACAGCACACATTTGCTCGGCTCTAGCAAGCTCGGGTGGCTGTGGGCACGAGGGCTCAGCGGGGCTGAGAACACGCCCCTCCTGGATTCCCAGCAGGCCAGAGGCCACCATGCAGAGGGCCCCGCTGTGTGAGTCCAGCCAGCACCTGCACAGGGCACGGCGGCCTGCAGGGCACTTCCCACAGCCGGCCACGGCACATCAACTCGGAATTAGAAATCCTTCGTTTTTCTTACAAAAATGCAACAGCGAGACAGCTATGACTGCAGCCATCAAGGGTCCTGAGAGACCCTAGACTGGTTTTCTGAGCGAGTGCTATTATTTAGCCAAACCACCAAGGAGGGCACCATTCACAGAAGCAGGGACAACCAGGTCCCACTGACCTCACAGGCGACTCAGAGACATTTTGCTCATTGCACTGTGTTTTCTGCAGGACGGACTTAATGCTGAGGCTTCTCGGAGCCCAGAGAGGGCCCAGCCGGGCCTCCACCTGCTGTGGGACGCGGTGCACTCAGGGAGTCAGGGCCGGGCCTCCACCTGCTGTGGGACACGGTGCACTCGGGGAGTCAGGGCGGGGCCTCCACCTGCTGGGGAGTCAGGGTGGGGCCTCCACCTGCTGTGGGACGTGGAGCACTCTGGGAGTCAGGGCGGGGCCTCCACCTGCTGGGGGACACGGTGCAGTCGGGGAGTCAGGGCGGGGCCTCCACCTGTTGTGGGACGCGGAGCACTAGGGGAGTCAGGGCGGGGCCTCCACCTGCTGGGGGACGCGGAGCACTCGGGGAGTCAGGGCGGGGCCTCCACCTGCTGGGGGACGCGGTGCACTTGGGGAGTCAGGGCGGGGCCTCCGTCTGCCGTGTGCGTGCAGGACAGGAGGGAAGGCACAGTTGTTCCTCCTTCCACCATTAGTCTTCAGAAGAAAACACAGAGGTTAATAACGACAGCACTTACTGGACCCTAACTTCTGCACAGCCTGCTGGGAATTTTCCTTGAATTGCCTCATATAATTCTCCCTACAACCCCAAAAAGAAAATGCTATAATTGTCCCAATCTATGGACAAAGAAACCACGGGTGGCATTGGCCAGTGTCCCAAGTCACACAGCTCTGCATGGGGGACCAGGGCTTCGACCTGGAGAGGCCTCCTTCCAGAATCTGAGCCCTCTCGGCCTCCTCTGGCTGCCTTGGAGCCGTCATGTCACTCCATGTGTTCCGATTGTGCTCTGCTTTGGTCGCTTTGGTTGTAGTTTTGTGTGCCCATGGGTGTTGAACACCTGGTGTTGTTAAAATCACACAACCACCGGCGCCGTGGCTCACTAGGCTAATCCTCTGCCTTGCGGCGCCAGCACACCGGGTTCTAGTCCCGGTCGGGGCGCCGGATTCTGTACCGGTGGCCCCTCTTCCAGGCCAGCTCTCCGCTGTGGCCCGGGAAGGCGGTGGAGGATGGCCCAAGTGCTTGGGCCCAGCACCCCATGGGAGACCAGGAGGAGCACCTGGCTCCTGGCTTCGGATCAGCGCGATGTGCCGGCCACAGCGCACTGGCCTCGGCGACCACTGGAGGGTGAATCAATGGTAAAAGGAAGACCTTTCTCTCTGTCTCTCTCTCTCTCACTGTCCACTCTGCCTGTCAAAAATAAAAATAAAAATAAAATAAAATAAATCACACAACCACTCTGGAAGCCTATCTGGCAATTTCCAGTAAAGTTCAACATACATAGAGCTTACGACCAGGAGTCCACCCAAAAGAAGGAGAGATTTGTGTGTGACGGACACAGCAGCTTTCACGGAAGTGAAGTGCACAGTCACCCACGAAGTGCACAAAACACAACACCGGGACACAAGGCACAAAGAAATGAGGAACACATCCTCGCTGATGGACACAGCTGCTTTCTAGCAACAGGCCACAAAGGAATGGAAATGATGAGCTGCCTGGCCAAGAATTCGAAATAATGATTTAAGGAAACAATGAGATATAACAGAACACAGACAACTCAATGACATTAGGAAAGCAATTCATGACATACATGAGGACATCTGAAGAAGAGATTAAAAAAAAAAAAAAAAAAACAGAACCAATCTGGAAACCGTAGAGCTAAAGAACTCAACAAATGAAACTAGAAATACAGCCGAGAGCCTCCACAGCGGACGTTCCGAGCCTAAAGAGAGGTTTTTTGAAATAATCCAGTCAGACAGGGAGGAGGAGCCATCAGGGAAAGGCAAATCAAGGACCACAATGAGGTTTTACCTCACCCCAGTTAGAATGGCTATCATCCAAAAATCAAAAAAAACTATAAATGTTGATGAAGGTGTGGGAGAAAAGGTACCCTAATCCACTGCTGGTGGAAATGTGAACAAATTCAACTACTATGGAAGACAGTATGGAGATTCCTCAGAAATCTAAACATAAATCTACCACTGACCCAGCCATCCCACTCCTGAGAATTTACCTAAACGTAATGAACTCAGCATATGAAGGGTTACTTGTGCCCCATGGTTATTGCAGCCCAAATGACAATAGCTAACATGATGTCCATCAACTGATGATGATGATGGATAAACAAATTGTGTGTGGAATACTACTCAGCCATAAAAAAAGAATGAAATCCTGTCTTTTGCAACTAAATGGATGCAACTAAAAACCATTTACTTAGTAAAATAACTCTCGCAAAGAAAAATATCATATTTTCTCTGATACGTGGCAGTTAATGTAGAATACAAGAAATGTGTAGGAATGAAATGGGCATTTTGTGATTGTCATTGTCATTTTCAGCCCTGAACTGTGGTCTCGAACTTTTTACCTGTTGAATATTATAGTTAGTGGTGAAGTAAGCCTGTGAACATAGAGTGGATTAAATTTTATCACTGCAAAAACTGACGAGAGGAAGGTGGGGGAAGAGGGAGGGGTTTGAGGAAAGGGAGGGAGACGTGTGGTTGTCTTCTTGGAACTGTACCCATAATGTATGAAGTCTGCTCTCTTCATACCAAGAAGAAATAAAATATATGAGTAAATACATATAATGCCCGTGTTTGCTAAAAATCCTTAAAGGTCACCAATTGTTCTTCAGTCAATCATGTAGGAAAGACTGCAAGGAGAGGGCTGAATGTCCAGGACACTCAGTTTTTACATACGGCTCAACGGCAGGTGTTATTATTTACAAAGATTGTATTGAGAAATAATTTACAGCTCATGGTTTTATCTTGTAATTCCACTGTTCCACAAGTGTTAAGCCCCTCACATGTTCTCTCCTTTCGCCTTTACAGTAGTTGTTACTAGTGCACTGCGGCAGATGAAAACTAAAGACCAGAGGACATCCAGTCCTCAGAGCTGGACCAGAACACACAAGTTATCCTCGCCTGGGGGCAGGGGTGTTCATGTCAGCCCATAACCGACACGGGCAGAAGAGGAGGGGAAATGTGCACAAGCCTACAGCAGGCTGCAGAGGGGACCCCACGAGACAACCCAAATGCAACACTTCCGATATTTCGCTATCTTGCATCAACAATCACAGCCTTATTCTTTTATCTCTTTTTGGTTTTAGTTGTTAGTATGAAGTATTTGAAGCAAATCATAAATATGATACCCTATGAATTTTATATTTCAAAATAGACATTTTCACATAACCATACAGCCATTTTATACCTAAAATAAAACAATTCCTTAACACATGCCAATTGCTAAAAATTATACATTTTTTAGTTATGTGGCATAAATAAGGATCAAACAAGGCTCTTGTACCGCTACGTCCTCTCTCTCCAGTCGCGTTTATGTTGGAGCGAGACTGTCCTCACGCACTCAACAGGCACTGCACCAGGTGCTGGGGAAAGCTGCACAGCAGGATTCGTCAGTGTGCTGGTCTTTCACGTGTTCTGCTGTCCTCTGTATTGGCCGTAAGCTAAGTCACCTCTGGAGACTCCAGTAGTTCAAGTTCAGTCGTTTACAAGAACACTTTAAGTGGTGCTGTCGGCCTCCCAGTGACAAGAGGGCTGAGCCGCCCAACATCAGTGACCAGCACTGCCTGGAGGTCTGGGTTATGACAGCAGCATACACTCCCCAAGAGTTCCCACCAGGCTTCTACTTAGATGTTTTATTTATTTATTTGAATGGCACAGTGACAGAGGGAGGGAGAGACAGACCGAGTTCCCATCTGCTGGTTCCCTCCCTACATGGCAACAACAGCCAGGGCTGGGCCGGCTCAAAGCCGAGCCCAGGAACTTCACGC